ATTCCCCCCTCCTCCCTCTTCCTCCTCCTCCATACCGCCCCCCCCCTCTTCCGTCGTCCGACCTTCCTTTATATTGAGTGACGCCAGTTTGTGTCTGCACTTTACACAACCCAAACTAAGAAGTGTGTGTGTGTGTGTCTGTGTGTCTGTGTGTCTGTGTGTGTGTGATAGAATTAGAAACTGCAAGTCGATAATGGCGTGGCGCTCCTGTTGTTTGCTAAGCCGTGTTTTCTCTTTCTGTTTGTATCTTGTCTGTCGGTCTGTCTGTTTAAACAGTTTGTCGTTCTGTCTGTTTATATATAGCCTGTCGGTCTGTTGTTTATAATGTTGTCTGTTGGTCTGTCTGTTTATAATGTAGTCTGTCGGTCTGTCTGTTTAAAATGTATTCTGTTGGTCTGTCTGTTTATAATATAGTCTGTGGTTCTGTCTATATAGTCTGTGGTACTTTGTCTTTATATAAGCTGTTGGTCTGTTTGCTGAGTTCGTCTGTTTGTCTGTTTTTTTATATACGTATAGATGAAGTCTTTTTTGACAGATAATTATCTGTTTAATAGACTATCTTCCGAAAAGTGTGATAGAAAAACTGGGAGTGGAGAAGAGGGAAAGAGAGAGAGAGCGAGAGAGAGAGAGAGAGCGAGAGAGAGAGGAGAGAGAGAGAGAGAGCTGTATCATTCAGTAACGAGAACATAAACAAAAGAAGAAGCGCTTGTAAAATGATCACCTGGACAAACTCCTACCTCAGCTCAATTCTATTCCCTTCACCCGAACGTCAGCGTGCCTTGCACGTAAACCAAGAATGTAAACAGAAGCGGCCTTAACCTCTCCCATCAGCGGCCTCGCCCGCACAGCGCTGTGTGTGTCAGCCCCGAGAACACAAGAGGGCAAGGTGCGGACTACGTCACGGAGAGCGTGTTACATACTATTTATAGATTGTCACTGAGGAGCCCGGAGACCGTAATGACTGATCCGGCTGTCGGAATGCAGGCGGCCGGCACTTGATGTCATTCACTAACGGGAAAATATTCTTGTTATCTTTGTTGAGTCAGCGGTTCGGATTGTCGGTCTGTACGGAATAGATTAGATCCGTGAGGTCTGTGATTAGGAATTACAAACGGCTGTACGACAGACAGTGGGGCAGAGGTCTCATTGCACCACCCCCCTCCCCCTCAACCTCTGGTATCTGTTGAACTGTGTTCTTTCTCTCTCTCTCTCTGTGTCTCTCTCTGTCTCTCTCTGTCTCTCTCTCTTTCTCTCTCTCTCTCTCTCTCTCTCTCTCTCTCTCTCTCTGCTTCCTCTTACTCTCTGTCTCTCCTCCCCTTCTCTCTCTATCCCTTCTGTAGCCCCCCCCCTCTTTCTCTGGCTCTCTCTTTCTCTCTCTCTATGTCTCTTTTTCTCTCTATCTATCTGTCTCTTTCTCTCTGTCTCTCTCCTCCTCCTCCTTCTCTCTCTCCTTTCT